AAATGTTCTAAAATAGGTGTAGCCCAGTGGTAAACTTGGGTATTATAGTGCACTGGGAGTCGGTGGGTTATTATGAATCTCTCTTACTCTCAAAAAGTGAGTTAAAAAAGTAAACGATTATTTACTTGGAAAATAATAAGGAGACACCTGATTTCTAAATAAGCAAATATCAGTTAATTTTACGTAATTAAAAGGAGTGATATTTGGTAATTTTATTTTGTGACAGTAACTAAAACAAAAGTTTATATTATTTAGTTAAATAATACTTGGCCGTTTAACTTTTTATTACTTTATTTTTACTGTTTTATGTTACTAATTGTATTGGTAATTTGAGTGTATTTGAGTATTCACGCTGTATAGCCAATAGTGTTTGGCGGAAGGGATACACGTGACCTGGTGAGAGAAAGTGCTGGAAGTTTAGTTTTTTTCCGCGCTTCCCGCTGTACCCGGTGGAGCACGAGAGAAGAAAAAATAAGACGCTAAAAAGTGCAGGTAACTCATGAATCGGGAATCGGGAGGACCGCGAATCAGAGAAGTGGACCGCGGACTCGAGATGTTTGTGAACCGAGAGACAGAGTGAGAAACGATGCTGAAGACCCGTTTGACGGAGCGCGAGAGACGGAGCGCGAGAGACAGAGCACGGGCTGTAATCTGAGGTAACTGTTTAGTCGAGATCGCTAGCCACCGTGGTGTTTTGCTGGGCGGAACTGACGGTTAATCGCACCCTACATGATCAGCTGGCTTGAAGTTTTCGACGCTCTCAATGTTTTGCAAGACCCAAACAGGCCTGCAACATGTTTTTTTCTGTTCAGTAAAACGGGACCGTGAGTAAACTGAAACGTGTGTGAATGTGTGTGTGAGTGGGCCCACCACTACATTTGCTATCTGTTTTAGGACACTTGACGGTATTGTTTTGTTTATTTTAAAGTGTTCTGTGTATTTTCCCATGTGGAAAGAGATTTAGTCCAAACTTTTATACCACTTATATTGTCTCAAAACATGTGAGTGAAACTATTGTAGCTAAGTTAGCTAAATAGCTTAAAGGGGCTATTATTTAAGGTGCAGGGAATATTTTGGTCATTTATTTTGTTTATTGGTCAATATTAAGATAAGGGAAAAGCTTTTATATTGCTTTTTTCAATTTCTGTGATCTAATTAAACCGGGGTTTTACCCTATTCGTTTTGTTAAAATATAAACCATCTCTGGGTCTCCTTATTTCTAAAATATTTTATTATTAACAGTTGTGTAGCTCAAATACACTTATTAGGTGCACCTTCGTGGTATCCACCAGACTACATCAAACCCAAGCACCCTCCATTCTTAAGTAATTCAGAGTGGTTGTACGGGTGCTACATAGGTCATTCATTGAAGGTCATTTCTTAAAGTGCGGAAAATACGGTAAATAACATGGAAGCCAATACGTTTTGTTTTGGATCACGAGTAGTAAAGTTTTTTTGCAACGGATGGACCACTAAATGTATCTCACAAAATGCACTTAATATTTTTGTTTACCGTTTTATTTCTGCTAATGTGCCCACCCCTGGTTTACAGGAAGAAAATGTTTACTTGATTTAAAAACAAAAAACTTGATTGTAAAACCAATGTGCCTGTCCTTTATAAAAATGATAGAGTTTCTCTATTTATATATTTATGTCTATACTGACCAAGCACTGTGCCTAATTGGTTTTAGACGGGGCATTTTTATTTACTTTTAGTATGAATCGGCCTATCAGCAGCAAAGTTCAATAAAATATGCATTTTTCATTGAAGTACCCCCTTCTTTCTTGTGTTTATTATTTTCCACAGAATTAAAGCAATTCATGCTAAATTTTAGAAAAATGTAATAATTATCCGATTAGTCGACTAATCGTTTCAATAGTCGATGACTAGTCGACTATTAAAATAGTCGTTAGTTGCAGCCCTACTTCTGAGGTGGGGTAGGTGCCGTTCTTTCTCAGCGGTCAGCCTCTGATGGTAAGATACACCCGTGCGCTTACTTTTCTCATCGACTCTCTCCCGCAGAACGTAATTACGATGTCGGTAATCGCGAACTGCTTGCCATCCGCCTGGCTTTGGGGGAACGGTGACAGTGGTCAGAGGGCTCCACCGTCCCTTTTATTGTCTGGACTGACCATCGTAATTTGGAATATATCCGTTCCGCTAAGAGTTTGAATGCGCGTTATTGTGAACTTTTACTTCTAAAGTGTTTGAAAACTCAGAAGCGAAAACCAGGAGACTCGGAAGTATCTTTTTAAGCCGTGTTCTTTATTGCTGTTGCATTGCTGTAGTCTGCTTCGTCCAAAAATCTGACTAAAGGCAAAATACTTTGTGTTCATAATTCATATACCTTACAAGGGGGAGGGGTTACATAGAGGTGTAGACACTCTGAAACAAAGCATGTAAATGAGGCATAGGATTCAGCTCGTCACCGGAAATTCCCCATCCCTGATCTCATCAGCATAACAGTGTCATGTATAGATCGTAATCCAATCAGCCTCATTGCATCACCCACACCTTCACATTATCATAGAGTTTAATGGGGAGGGGTTACATCGAGGGGGAGACACTCTGAGCATAACTATTCAGATTGAGTCTGGGGCTTCCAGAGCCATTAAAACAGTCTGTCTTTGAGTTGGACTCGAGAGCTTCTTAAAATATACTAGGCCGTATTTCTACTAGTTGTTGTTCAGTCCTGTTAGTATGCTGGATTTAAATGTTTATTTATTTATTTTTTTGAAGAGTGGAAGTTTAAGTTTAAGACATTAAAAAATGTGTTCATGCGCATTATACCTCTGTGCTGAATATTGTTTAAGACTTCACATGACTGTTTACCAGGAATAAAATGTGACTCATATTATGAAGTTCCCGGAAGTGCAGTTGTTGTTGTTGTTAGAGCACGAACGAGGTGGTGTAACGTTTGGTGTTGACGAATAAACGGATGATCGATTCTCAAGTGTACCTTTTTGTATAACGTGTGTGTATCAATACACAACTCTGAGATCACAACGTGAATGTGTGCAAGAATAAACTGAGCATGTTCAAATCAACTCTTTCCAGACTAATTCCACTAAATGTGTTTAGAGAAAATACAGATTTCTTTACCTGTGAGAAGTGAAGAGAGAATGATCAGTCCCAGCAGACACAGATCACACTGATCAGACATTTCTGCTTCTGTCCGTCTTCCTCTTCATTAGATATAGTGACAGCTCTTCCTCTTCATTATATATAGTTACAGCTCCTCCTTTAATCATCATCAGCTCCTCCTGTGGTTATTGACTTCCTCTGATGTGATGAACTGAGTGTTTAAATCCGTTACTATATAGTGACATGCTGCGCTGTTATACGTGAACAAACTCGAGCCCCACAGAGTAAATAAATTTGTTATTTTTGGGGGGTTTTGCGCACAAAAAGTATTTTTAATCTCTTGAAAAAGTATTGAGCCACTGTAGTCACTTGGACTATTTTAATGATGTCTTTAATAACTTTTCTGGGCTGGCAAGTTTCAATCCCTTATAAGCCGATGGAGGAGTGATCCAGCTCTCAGATTTAATCAGAAATATCTTAAATTTTGTCCCGAAGATGAACGAAAGTCTTACGGGTTGAACAACACGAGGGAGAGTAATTACTGACAGCTTTTTCATTTTTTGGGTGAACTATCCCTTTAACAGACACACCACTAAAACCAGTAATTTCAGACAGGGTCGGAATGAAGGATGAAAATAGTAATTTTTGCTAATATACCGTATAACTGTTGAGCTAAGAGAAGCTGAAGGTAGTGATGGTGAGATTAAGCTTCTTCCCAGCCTGATGTGTTTATTAGTGGCTGATTTCTCATGGTTTCGAAAGCGCACAGCGACACCTGCTGGTCAACGCAAATATCATCCAGAACAAAGTCCTCAGTGGTGTGTTATGGACATTAATGTTACTCAATGCAGGGCTGACGAGGCTGAGAATCACGAAATTCAAACAATAAATGCGGGTTTGGCGCTTGTAAATGTGACTGACAGATCGCTGTATACGCCTCAGTGAACTGATCATCTCTTACTCTTTACTAGTTATGGGAAATAAACACGAATGAACAATATGTGTGTTGAGAGATACAGCACACATTACCGAAATGTATATCCCTCATACATAATATCGATAATCAGTGTTTTTCAACAGTGGAAAAGGGTCAATGTACAGCTAGAGAATGTCACGTGACATTACATTTACCTCAGGAACATTATTAAACAAAGAAATCTTTAGTTCTGAGTGAGTCGAATTAACAACCTTTACGGTATTTTTTTTTTGTTGTTGTTGTAATTTTAGAGCACAATACTAATGCAATCATATTCTTTTGATGACGACATTTTCACATTCAGCGCAATTCCTCAGTGCAACTACAGTTCCCAGCAGCCATTGCGCCTCTGTTTTTCGGTGACTCGTGTAAACGAAGATGGCGCCGTCCGGAGATCAACAAGCGTGCGTATACTATGTGGAGAGAAGGTTTATTGATTAAATTAGGAAAATTAGGAATTAATGGGAAAATGTATAATTATATACTTGACTTTCTCTCTCCACGCTCCATCAGGGTTAAAGTGGCTGATACAGTGTCTGATGAATTTATTGTTGAAAATGAATCCCTCAGGAAAGTGTTATCAGTCCTATATTGATCAACATAATGATTAATGACATATATGAAACATTGGGAGATGGTAACGAAGGTCTACTATATGCAGATGATGCTGTCATTTGGAGAAGAGGACGTAACATTTCATATGTTAATGATAAAATTCAAAAGGACATTCAAGTACTTGAACAGTGGGGAATTGATTTGGGTTTTAAATTTTCTATGTCAAAGTCACAGGTGGTGTATTTTACTAGGAAAGAAGTCCCTGAAACTTATAAAATTACTTTTCATAATCAGAAACTTGAACGAAGGGAAAAATATACTACCAATGTAACGGAGGTACTTTTCTAATGGGACTTTTATTTTGACGGGTTTTTTTCTTTATCCGGTGTGCTCGCGCGGGAGGCAGAGACGTCTGGGAAGGAGAAGGGTAAGCAGGAGAATTCGAGAGTTTCGCTGAAAACGTGAAGTAAAACTGTCAGATTGAGATTTATGAGTTTAGAGTATACCTATATCGTCATGTGACACGAGAACCGCAGTTAGAGCTGAAGTTCGGTCGGTTATATCTTCGGACGGAGAACAGTGTTGGAAGCTTGGCTGAGTGCACAAGGAAGATTGCTGCCTGGAGTCGTGAGTTTCATTCATAATACTGCCGGGTGTCGTCGTTGCTTTAACCCAACATATTTTCAAGAGCCTACTGTTTTTTGGGGGGTTTTTTTTAAGTGATGTGAACTGTACGAAGCGAGAGTTTTCTGCCTGCAATCCGTTTAAGTGCACTTGTTAGTGAACAAGATCGCGTGTGCAGACTGCAAGAGTAGTTTTTGGAGTGAATCGTTTTAGTTTTGTCTATAAGGGACTGAAAATCGTTCCGGACCAGTGTGTATTTTTGAGAGACATTTTTTTTTGTGATCCAGATCATTCCGTGTACGCGAGCCGCGTGAGAGCTGAACCGAGTCATTTTGTTTTAGGAAGATTTTTTTGAGGGCCACACTGAAACTTTTCTCGTGATTTTTATTTTTTTTGCTTATTATCCTGCCATCCTGACGACATCTCGCCGTTCTGTCTCAACTGTTCATTAAATCATCACAGGTCATCATTCCTTCACGAATCTCCTAAAAGTCTTCAAAGTCATTGCTTCGAAGCCGTCGTTGCCACAGACTGGTACAACATTTCAGTACACACACGTACACATGAACATATGAACATTTTACTGAATCAGAATGGACTGAACTGAATGTTTAAACAAACTGATTGTTTCAATTGTAAGTTTGAACTGTGATTGCTGAGTTGATTGAAAACTGAATCATAAGATTGATTCAAAAGAGTCGTTTAGTGATTTCAAGGTTAACTATGCATGTGAAATGGGTCATTTGAAGTGAGTAATTTAATGGAATGAGTTATTTGAATTGAATCACAAAAGTTATTTGTACTCAGGGTTGTGAATAAGTTTTTCTGTGTTTAATGAGAATATCCTTATCCAGATAATAAGGTTGGGTAAACACTTTGGAGGTGTTTAAAGGTGTTGTTCTGAATATATTAGTCAGTTGAAGATCATTCAAGAAAACAAGAACACTAGAACTGTTATTTTATTTTTTTTATTTTGATTGTCATTTTATTTGTTTGAGCTGTCTCTTCCAGCAAATACGTAACCTATTGAGGGAAGGAAAATAAATTATTAGTTGTTCAAACTAAAATATTTGACTGTTATTTCTGAACTTATCTTGGGGTAGGGGCGTCTCGCTTACACTATTAGGATTAGGTGGGTGGGGACGTGAATTCAAAATACTTCCATTTCACTTCATGCACTTCAGGAAGCCACCGCTCTGACATACTTACCTGAAGCCTACACCACATATTCCTGTTGCATTTTGTAGTAGTGTAAGATAAAACATACACATAAGTGCATACTGAGACTTAAAAGAACTGGAGCGGGGACTAAGTTCCTTTCGCTTCTAAATCTCCCAGGGTAACTATTCAAATATCCCCCTACTAGGCGAGACTTAAAGTCCCGTTACATAGAATATGGTTAGATGCCAAACTTACACGGAAATGTCACATTGAATATGTTGAAACAAAGTGTAAAAAGGTAATTAATCTTATGAGAATGGTCACTGGGCATAATTGGGGAGCTGACAGGCTGTCTCTGATGAACATATATAAAGCGTTGATAAGATCAACTATTGATTATGGCTGTATAATCTATAACTCAGCTTGTAAAACATCCCTCAAGAAAATTGAAAGAATGCAATTTAAGGCTTTGAGGATTGCCCTTGGTGCTTTTAAAACAACTCCAACAAGTGCTTTATTAGTCGAATCTAAGGAAACTCCTCTTAATTTAAGGTATGAGAAATTATCACTAACTTATTGGGTAAGCTTAAAAGGTAGTTTTAACAACCCAGCTTTGTCAGTACTTAGTGATTGTTGGGAATATTATAAAAAGTTCAATGGCTGTGGGTTCGGTTGGAACATTGACAATTTAGTAAACCATTATGGATTAAAAGAGCTGAAGTATGGCCTTGGATTAGTGGTACAATTCTGTTGGATATTATGGAATTGATGGCAATGAAATTGCTGATAAGTTTGCTAAAAAAGCTTTAGAATTAGACCAAGTACAAATGTCCATTCCATTGGGTAAAGGAGATGCTAAAGCTTTCATTAAATCTCAGATTATACTGAGCTGGCAAGATGAATGGGAGTTAGAGAATAATGCCAGATATTATCATAGGAACCAGAACTGTGTTGAAGGAAAAAGAATCACCTCATTGGGTCTTAATAGGCATGAAGAAGATATGATAAAACCAGATTGAGGTTGGGCCACACAGGCCTTAATTCCACCTTATCCTTAATAGGTAAAAGTAATGGTATATGTTCAGAATGCAAAGTATTGGAAGATGTCACCCATGTTTTATTTAATTGTAGAAAATTTGACAAATTCAGACAGAAATGGAAAGACGCTGATGCAGAAAATGATATTCATAATATTTTACAGGAGCAAGGAATACAGGGACAAAGAAGCACATATTTAATTATATGTCTTAATGATACTGGTTTAAGTAGAAGAATATAGGATTTTTTTTATTTTATGATTCATAAACAGTATCGTATGATATATGCACAAGCTAATATGCTGAATCGCAAATTTAATATGTGCTCACTTTTTGTGAAGATTAGACTTTTGAAAGCTTTTTGTCCTCCGATGTACACTGCCCACTTGTGGCGGCGCTATAAAGAAGTAGTCTGCAGAAACTCAAGGTGGCATATAATGATGGGTTGAGGCTGCTGCTTAAATTGCCACTAGGGGGCAGTGCGAGTCAAATGTGTGTAAGTGTTACTGTATCCACATGTCTCATGTACAGATGTGTGTGTAGACTAGCGGAGTCACATAACAGCATCATCAAAACACTAGTGAATCCTCCAGCTTCTACACTGAGCTCCTCAAACCTCCAGGATGATCAGAAACTTGTTCTCCTCCTCAGGCTCCAGATCCTGTGATCTAGTCCTGTAAGCTCTAAAAAAAGTTATCACTTCCTTAAACCTCTCTCTATCACTCAAACCCTTTCCCAATAGGTCCATAATGCTCACTGGCCTGTTCTTTATATTTCTAAAAAGAGCCCTACGCTGATCTTCATATTTACTACACTTAAACAACACATGTTCTACTGTTTCAAGTATGCCACATTCATCACACACACCATTTCCATGCTTTCCCATTAATGCCAGTGTTGATTTAACCCTGTATGACCCATCCTTAATCTAGAAATCATTACTTCTTCCTTTCTATGTCTTCCATAGCACGAATATTTTATCCCTACTGATTTTACAATACTATAATACCACCTACCTGCACTGCTATTGTCCCATCTTTGTTGCCATATTCTTGTTATTTCTTTATTAATTATTGACCTTCATTTCTTCCTAAAGGTATCTTAATATCTACCAAGTCTTTCCTTAATGCTTCTTTTGCTAATTTATCCGCTATTTCGTTTCCTACTATCCCAATGTGTGCCGGTACCCAACAAAAGTATACAAGTCTCCCCTCTACGTTCAGCTTATATAATAATGTACACATTTCTACCTTCTGGTCTTCTCTGTCTGTTTTTGTTGATAATATACTTTTAAGTCGTGTCAGAATCCGGCGACGCGAGCGGATACTTCAGACCCGCACAGACACAGGTGACACACACTCACACACACACACACACACACACACACTACAGACTTTAAACGGGAACGCGACGGTGGAGCGTTTTTAAGATTTCCACTCTGGACGGTGGTTTCACTTTTTTACAGTTTTCACCCGCGAGCGTTCTCGTGTAAACAGGGCCTTAAAAGTATTCTACAGTTGTAGTACTATAAGAGAAAGAGATAAAACATCAGATTAAAGTAAAAGACGATCAAATGTTCAGGAGGGAACGAGATTTACAGCTTTACTGTGCTGTGAGTGAATGAGTGAATGGGACTCTATGGGGCTAGACGGCTAAATGCGTCTCTTTCACCCGATTGCCGTTGAGAAATCTCAGATTTGATCGTAGGTTTTGCGAGTTCAACATGGGTTATAGGTCGAAAGTTGAATGAACAAGTTCTTATGTCCTTTTTATTTCTTACAGCTTGACTTGTTGCCCATAATACGCTAGCATTCTGCTGATTGGTCAGTGAAGGACTGATTACGACCTTGCACACTTTTATTTTCTGGTAGACGGCTGCGTTGACCTTCGACCTCAGAAAACACAGTGGACCGACACCAGCAGATGACATGGCCAGACCATCACTGACTGTGGAGACTACACTGGAGCGTGGATTCTGTGCCGCTCCTCTTCCTCCAGACTCGGACCTTGATTTGCAAAGGTAATGCAGAATTTACTTTCATCAGAGAACATGACTCTGGCCCACTCGGCAGCGGTCCAGTCCTTCTGTCTTCAGCCCAGGCGAGGCGCTTCTGCCGCTGTGTCTTGTTCAAGAGTGGCTGGACACGAGGAGTGCGAGAGCTGAAGCCCATGTCTGGCGTACGTCTGTGTGTGCTGGTTCCTGAAGAACTGACTCCAGTTGATCCTTCCTCCCGCCCAGAATTGAGGAAACTTTGGGCTTGTCCTCTGAGGGTCCCCTGAGCTCATAAGTTCAGGTCTCTCGACTCTTAGATTATTGAGGCCATCCTCAACTCCAGAGCCCCTCCACGAGGAAACTCGACACCTTGAACTGGAGATTGTTCACTGGTTCGGAGAGCACCAGCTGGACCCAGTTATCTGCCCTGTGGTTGCAGTGCTGGAGTTCCCGCAGGTCTATCCCCCTCCACACTAAAGGTGTACATGGCGGCCTTAGCTGCTGGCCACGTATCCTTGGGGAGACACCCTGTAGTACGTTTCCTTTGCGGTACTGTGAGGCGTCTGACCAAGACACTAGGAGTACGGCTGCCTCAAAGGCTATGAGTTGGATCTAGGCTCCACTCCGGGGTCTAGGGTGTTTGCTTCTTAGTGTGCGCAATGACTTCACACAGAGCAGGCATTTGCTGGTCTCGACCCAGCTTGAGTTCCCTTGAAAGGGAGCGTCTCAGGTTATGACTGTAACCCTGGTTCCCTAAGAGGGAACGAGACGCCGCGTCGCCCGCCATACTCCCTGCATGCATGTGATCGACTTTCTTCGGCCTATCAGAACCTTCACCTCTTTGTCTGGTCTCATCCCTACGTGATCTCAGACTATCCTAACAGTCTGATTAGGCCCAAACTCGAGGAACCATGTGTCCACTAAAGAGCAGATGAGACAGATCCCCAACTCTCTAGACCGATGCCAGAACCAGCAGAACCAGTCTATAAACTCATCAACTGTGTTCAGAGATGATCACGGCTCTATTCTGGTCAAACTGTGAGTCATGTTTCCCAGACCTCAACAGTGAGATCACAGCTATAAAAACACTACGGAAATCACGTAAAGAGCACAGTCCACAGACACCTCGCCCTCTAAAGAGAAATCTATTTATTATTATAATTCTCATCATGAGGTAATGGAGTTTGGCCAAATATTCCTTTCTTAAAGTTAAACTAAACTAAAATAATCGTTAATGGAACCCAACATATTTTATTACAGTTCCCATCCCTAATCATTAATAATATTCAGAGGCTGCTTTGAGAGATCGAACAATAAACTAACCCGCTTCAGTCTAAGGGAGAGGCGCTACACGTGTATATGTTAAAGTATCATCAACCATGTAACACACATTTTGGCGCTGTCACACTCCTGACAATATGAGTGTGTAAATCATGTATATTTATTGACACAGTGAAGTGTCTTTACATGTGTGTTAAACATGTCTGAGAAGTGCACTGCAACACACATCTGCTCTGAACACACGAGAGCATTACTGATAGTTTCACTTCCTTATTTGAGCAGTTTCCTGCATGCGTTCAATTCTACAAATAAAATTTCTACTCATAGATTATAATGTGTTGTTTACTCTGAGGAAAACAGATCTGATCCAGCCTCCTTTATCAACACTACAAATGATCTGGAAGATAGATCTGGGATGTATTTCTCAAGCACCACTGATTTAACTTCCGGCTCCCTGAACTCCTGACTACTGTCTCAATGATGTTCTCCATCTACATGTCATCATCAGAAACATGGTTTCTCCATCACTGTTCTCATCTAGATACTGGAGTGCCTCAGGGCTCAGTGCTGGGACCGCTTCTCTTCTCCATCTACATGTCATCACTAGTGTCTGTCATTCAGAAACATGGTCTTTAGCTATAGAGACGCACGTCACTCCTCTCCTCATGAACTTGCACTGGTTTCACAGTGCTGCACACACACATATTTCATCAACACTTGAGCCTTTAATACTCACACTTACTCTTCTATATTACCATACATTACGAGCTCATGAAGGGGAACATCTCAGGAAAGGAGACATATTAAACACAACTGCAGAGGTTTATTAAGAATATTAGTAGCAATCATTCAACATGAAAAACAGATGAGGAATCAATAATACAATAATCCTCAGATCATCTCCATCACACAGAACAGAGAGACGATTATACAGTCTGAGTCTGTCCATTACTGTATTTAATATTATATTTACAGCAGTTTACAGATGAAGCTCAAGAACATGACTGTAGGCAAATATCCATAGAAATGAAAAGAAATCCTAATAAAAGTATTATTGAGATAAAAAAGTGTTTGCTATTGTAAATATTGCTGCAGATTGTGAACTCATCAGTGTTTTACTGTAATATTGTGGGCATCTCTATTTCCTCCGGGGGCTTCGAGTCCTTCCTCCCTGCAAAATAAAAGCATTGCCTGACCTCTGGTGTGTGTTTATCATGATTGCAGATGTTCAGATCAGACGAGTGTGAATCTTCAGAGTGTGTGCGGCTCAAACTCACCAGCTCTTCTTGCACAGATGATCTGAAGAAGAATCACAGTAGGAGCAGCAAACACTGCCATCTCAACAATACTCACAATCACTGCAGGAAACATGAGAGGAAGAAGAAGAGAAACTGGACATGACTGAAGTCAAGGGTCTTCATCTATCAACAGTTATTGATGAAGCATTTACAGACGGACTGATAGTGTAATGTTAGAAAGCTGTCCGTCTAAATCAACGTGTCGTACCTCTGTATAATAATCCAGCAGTTCCTGATGCCGGATCACCTGTGGAGATCACGTGTGTTAGTTCAGGTCAACACACACTTCTACATGTTTACACACACCACACGAGTCCATGAAATGAAGCTAACACAACTCAATGTGCCAATGGTCCTGTAGAATATGACAGTCATATTTAGATGAGTGAACACTGAAGATAACTCCAGCATTACGCACTGAAAAGCACTGATGTGAGAAAGACAGTGATGATGTACCTTTAGAAACGTGTGTGTTTATAGTTGAGGGATCCTGAGAGTGTGTGATGTGGACTGGATTCACTGCTGTCGTTGAATCAGCTTGAGCTGTGAAGATCAATGTTAGTTCAGATGATTCATACTGTACAATATGAGCATCATATTTTAACTGTGATCATCACATTACATAAAGAGTGAACAGTTGGACTGTGACTTCACTGCAGTTCATTAGTTTGAAGCAACGCTTTGAGTTCCTCTTCTGTGAGAGTCAAAGCAGCTTTTGTTCCCTCAGTTTGTTCTGGTTCAGTGATACTGATAGACCTCAGTGTTCCTGACATCATGAGGCTCTTCTAACACTGTTTCCTCACCTGAATACTTGACAGTGTATCTGACTGACGTCTGGACTTGATTTCTCTGAGTAAGCTGACATCTCCACTCTCTGTTGTCATCTTCATCCAGGAGTGTTGTAGTCAGAGTGATGATACAGGGATCTGGAGATGATGATGATGATGATATCTGATATCTGGAGTCTGTCTTCAGATCAACACCAGCCTGATTCACCCACAACAGCTCATCTCCCTTATAAATGACCCAAACATCACAGAAGACTACAGAATAAAACTGACAGGAGAGAGTCACAGAGCGGCCTGGACTGATCTCAGTCTGTGAGGATGAAGATGATGATGATGATGATGGAGACACTGAAACTGAACACAAGACACAAATCACAGACTCTTCAATCATCATCTGAGTTTAAAGGGAGAATCTGCTCTTTTTATATTGAACACATAATCATAAACTTACCATGAAGAACATGCAGAAAAACATAAGCATCAGTTCCTTGTTGTTCTCCGTTCACATATTGTGTGCAGGTGTATAATCCATAATCTTCTTCTGTGGCGTTCTTGATGTTCAGAGAGCAGTCAGACTCCAGACTCAGTCTCTCATGTCTCTCTGTGTCTTTATTCTTTATTCCTCCAGTAATCAGTTCAACCCATGAATCTCTGAATCTGTTATAGTAGGTCCATGATGTTGATTTGCAGTCAGAAAGATCTTTATTACAGGACAGAGAAACATCTACACCAGAACTGATGAACACATCCTCCACTCCACTGGTTCCTGAAACACAGTATATCTCAGTGATCATGATGATATAAACAGAAGTATTAAATCATGATATTTTTCCTCACTGTTGCTCACGATCTGAGAGTGTTAAAGTTTCGGCTGAGTTTCGAACGCTCTTTGGGCTGTAAGTTGATGCGAGTACGGATACATATGGAATGCCAAAGCTGGCTTAATTCAAAATAAATAAATACATAAATAAATATACAAAGAAATGTAAAAAAAAAAGTACAAATAAATGAGTATTTATACTTTTATTTCCTTATTTATGTATAATTGTATTTTTTCACACATTTATTTATTTATTTGTTTCCACTTTTATTTTTTTATGTCTACATTTATTTTTATTCTACATTATTATTATTTTCACATTTATTTGCTCCAACATTTCTTTCTCCGTATGCTAATGAGGGGGCGTGTTTTAACTCAGACATCAGCAATCGAGCTCAGAGTGGCAGTGCTGAAGCTTTGAGGCCACAGTGACCCCTTGTGGTGTGTGACCAAACGAAATGCAAGAGCTGTGCGGTAATTTCACATTTTAAGTCATGTATAGACCTTATTCACAAACACCGGAAGTAGCTAACCGCGGCCATATTGTTGACATGACATCTGTCCTGCTGCCCCTAGCCGCGCGCTGATTTGAGTTGAGGGGGAGCTTCATCTCGTCGGTATCAAGAGAAGAAAAGCTTGATTGGTGTGTGGACCCACATCAAAATTAAATAATAGCATTAAGTAAAGATCCGTCCTTATTGCCAGCCGTAACCTATCCGGATATTTATAACGATCTCGATCATACAGTATCCGTATAACGGACAAACTACAATTTACCTCAACAAGGCAACATAATGAACGACACTCGTCTCATTCGTGGAGGTGGAGAAACAAGTGCTTTGTGACATGCAAGATTTGTTGTATTAAAATGTAAAATGTTTTTGTCAATGTTAAGTTTTCATTTAAAATGTTTGTGATTTTAATATAAGTACATGGTTACATATTTGACCACTTGCTTGAGCAACTTAATATATAGAAGTAATGCATGCAATAATTGTCTTACGTTGTTGAAATAGTGATTATGTGTTAAAATAAAAATAGTGAGAACGGGGTGTTTGTGGTACAGCCGCGGATCAGTTACGCACTGCAAACGCAGCATATAAAGCACCAGTATTAGCGTGTCCTGCTTCTGTACCGTACACACACCGCACACGCATTGCACACGGATTATAAAACCTGTGGTAAAATGATGGGAACAGACTTTTCTGTGGGGAGTTGGCTGAAAGTTTAGCCTATTTATCCTAGCTAGCCTCTCCTGCGCTGACTCAACCCTGTCTCCTTCCCTTCACGTTTTCTGACAGTCGGTATCTTATCGCATAAAAACTAACTCTGAGGTTCTTATTGCTGTTGTTAGAACAGCCGTGTATTACACAACACCATCAAACCAGTGATAATACCATGGATAATCCCGACGCTACCTCGCTTGTCCATTGACAGACTGACAGTTTCTGTGGTTTCTATGTCAACAATATGGCCGCCGCAAACACTGATGACGCAGATCAAATAACATCTATATCATCCTAACTGTGTGTAGGGTAGGCTATATAGACCATTTCACAAGATGTAAACAACACTAGTCCAGAAGCACTTCCTGTTTCAGTTTGTAACGGTTTTCTTTATTTCACCTGTAAAGAAAACATCTTAAAGATGTTTGTTTAACTTTTTGATTCAGTTTTAAATGTTCTGTTGGTTGTATTTTATCCCAGCTTTTATGTAGTGTTAAAAAAATGAAACAGGAAGTGCTTCTGGACCAGTGTTGTTTACATCTTGTGAAATGGTCTATAGGGTTAACACACATGAACATAGGGATGGGACGATAACCGGTTTCGCGATAAACCACGATAAAATATACTGACGGTTAGTAATATCGTTTAAAATGTAATTATCATTAAAACCGTGTTTGATTATCGCGATTTTAATAACTCACTGTAAATCCTGTCGGCCAGTCTGACGCAGCCGCGCGCCGCACGCAATGTTTACTTTTCGAGAAGGAATGGCGGAAGGCAGTGACCGTGCTTGGGAGATTCAGCCTTTTAAGAGGACCAAATCTGGGGAGTGGTCATAGTTAGGCTTTTACAAAAGTCCTGAGGGAAACTTGATCGAGGATAGTCACCCTGTCTGCAGAACAAAAAGTCACTGTCCAAAAGAAACACTTCAAATCTGCTGAGTCGTCTTCTTGTGTAACCATCACCTGTTGTATAGCGAACGCAAGGCAAGTTAACTTTGACCTCAATACCAAAACTACGTCTGGGAAAATATTGGGCACAAAATGTTGTTTTGAATTTAAACATTTTATGTCACTCACTTGAAATAAGTGAAGCTTCCGCGAAGAAAAGTTTGCAGCAAGTGTCTTTGAGCCGACGAACGGACATCTTCCAATAAGATTATTATTAAGAGTGACGTTTTAAGGGATAGTAATGTATAGATACATCACGTATTACACCGATTTTATTTTTACCACATAATTACGGGGACATATTGAATTGATAATGAGTTTAGCTAATGTTTTAAATCTTACCCGTTTATAAATTAATTTAGTAAAACAATCGTCCAGACAAGATGATCACACCAATATTATCAAACTCTGTAAACAATAAATCAACTCTGATTTCATTTTTAAAACAATCAAAAACTGGAGACACAAGACGGCCGGCAAGTTGTATTTGAATGAAACGAGCGCGTGTCCGTTATTGATGTGCGCTGTGTGTGTAATAATGCGTTGCTATTGACGACAGGCATTATAAAGAAGGAAATGCCATAGAATAGAATCTTGCTTAAAAAAAACTGCATAGAGCTGCTTGTTTATTTGTTGTTTGTTGATTTTCATTTATAAAACTTGTTGAAATGTTTTCAGTGTGAGCATCAGTTCTTTTTGAACACTTTCATCTAATTTTAACAAAACCGTGATAATATTGATAATTGCGATAATTTTGGACACTATAATCGTGATATGAAATTTTCATACCGTCCCATCCCTACATGAACAGAAACTGCACTTCAACGGGTCTGATAGCAGATACTTGGACATGAAAGCGCATGAAAGCATCCACTATTAATAACAGAGTAAACGCGGGGATAGGGCTGATAGTTTGCGTTTGGTTTGTGTTTATTGTCGATGAGACTCGCACACCAGCGCAGAAAAGGAAGGAAAATGTCATTAACGTGAAACGTTGCGCGTCACATTCATAGGCTCTGTAGAGGCTATATAGTTTCCTCCCATAGATCCCATTATTACCAAAAAGCTTAAGCAGTAAATATGAAGGTGGAGCAAAACTTCTGAACGCCTGTGACAGTGGAGTGTGTAGTTGTAGAGAATGTTTTAAAGAGCTTTTTTTATCTTCCACAAACACAACACAACCGTTACACCTTCTCTAATTCTTCATTGCAGGTGCACAAATCAACAAAT